AAAAGCTTTTGTTTTAGCCCACGAAAGCTTATGCCCAAATAAATTTGTTAGTCTCTAAGGTGCCACAAGTACTCCTCATTCTTTTTTCATGAAATACAAAGGAGTCAAACTACTCTGGTTCCCAATCATCAAGGGTGAGATTCTCATTTACCCTATACATCCATGTAGGGAATTAAGGGGATTTAAGATGGCCCCTTGATTCATTGAGTGGACTGCCCACATAACTGCTCTGAGCACAGGGGGAGGAGAGCAGGCTCCCGTGGACACATGCTCCCCCCATCCCCCCCCCCCCCCAATGCTTGTGGACAGGAAGCGGGTAAAGACTCAACGGTCATTACTCAGCTTCTCCACACTCTCGCCAGCAGAGCTGAGCTGAGCTGGTGCAGAGGGGGAAGTAGTCTGCTGTTAGTATGAGCCAATAGCAAACTATTTCCCCTCTTTCAGGGTCACTTCTCTTTCCCTGGTGTGCTCCTGGGGCAGTACAGCTACACATTGCCCCCTCCCTGTAGCCTTGGCAAAGTCACAGCCTTGTCCCCAAAGGAATAGTTACTTAGTTCCACATGGACACGTTCTGTACAAAACTGAAGTTGCTCTTGAACATTGGCTTTAGAAATTATTTTTTTTAAATGCAAACTGAGTAGATAATATTTTTTCTCCAGCTGTGTTATTCTGGCAGAACTTTTGATGGATGATAGAAATTAATTCCTTCCTAATCAAGACATTTTAGAAAGGCCACTCTTCCTATTGATTGAGTATTTTGCCATGGATCAGCTAGTAGACTATATGCAACATTATTCAACATACACAATATTACTGTTCAGTTTCTGAACACAATCAAAATGCACTAACTCATGCACCATTTATTGTTTAGTTCTTCCTTTCTCTGTTAAAAATTAAGCAGCGATGATGACAATGTGTTGTCATATACAAGTAATAAGTGAACATATCAATTTAAACTGTGGTATTTCATTCAGTGTTGTTTTTGATCACCCCAATAAACAAGATTTTGGATACTGTAGGAGAATATAAATAATGGAAATGTATTACATTATTATAATAAACTTGTTAATTCCATAAAATATTCAGCATATACTGAGACACAACATGATCATAATAATGCCATCCTAAAAAAACTTTTAAAAGCTAGAATATTTGTTCAGAAAGCACTCAACATTAGGCTGTTGATTGTTCTTTTCAAAGATCGTTGAAACAGAAAAAGGGCCCAAAAGTGCATAGTCTTCCAAAGGAATTGGAAACTTCTAAACCTTCAGCAAAGAAGCAGAGGATAAATAGAATATGCCAGTGGAAACACTGTTTGAATAATGAGCACCTACGTTTGTCAAAGATTTAATGCAAGTTGACATTACATTTTGCAGTTCAGAATATCCTTTTACAAAGCAGGTCAAACTAAAGTATAAGAGCTGACAGGCTTGCACATAGAGCTATCTTGAATGAGAAATCCATTTGGAAATTATTCTATTATATTTTCATAAGTGATTTAGGGCCATTTTGCTGAACCAATCAGGGATGTTTTTTTCCCTAAAGGTGACATTATTTGTAACTGAACACTTTGTGTATTTACTTTGCCACTTTTTTTTCCCCTATGGTCATTAAAGAAAACTAGAATACAAAACAAAGCACTGCGATTTTATTTAGAGCAAGGAAAAAACCCTTAGGAATACAGGGTATTTCTCAAGAATATGCAAATTCACTATTCATTGATATGCTGGAATGTAGAATACTGTAATTACTTTGAGGCTCACACTTTTATCTTCCTAATAGGCTACAGTACACAGAAACATTTGTCAGACAATTGTGGAAGTCACCTCTGCTTCAGCAGTGACTTCCTCATTTACATGTTGAAGCTAGATGCAGGACTGCAGTTTCCTGGCTGGCTTGGGAAAAGGTGCTCTGAACAATGTGTGGGCCAGCCTGTTGGAATGCAGGAGCAGGAGAATGCCACAAGCTTCTTTCACTACCTTGTAAGGCCTGGGCAAGAGCTAACCAATTGCAATCCATGTGCTCAAAGGAGTTCAGAGACTGTTCACTGCATGCATAGTACTCCAATTAGGATGAGGAGATGAGTCAGGTCTGTAGTCCTGCAGCACTGTAGGGATCCATCCCATGATGCAACATTAATGTTCTGGCTTCTGTGCACTGTGCATTCAACTACACATCTGCACTGCCATGTACTTGGATAAATGGTTAAAAAGCCCCAACTCGATAAAACACTTAAACATGAGCTTAATTTTAAACATGTACTTAAGTCCATCCCTGTTCAGCAAAGAACTTAAATATGCACTAAGTGCTTTGCTGAATTGGGAGCCAAGAACCAAAATTTGCCCTTCAGGATTCTGGAGCACAGAAAGATCCAGCAAGCTCTGAAGACTCTGAGAATTTACACTCTAAAGAGGGAACTAGCCTAACACTGCAGAAAGTAGAAATAAAATTTTTATTAAGATGACGTTTAGAAAAAGTGAACAGTACAGAGTTTAAGCATAGAAGTTTCTGGTTATCAGGGAATAACGTACAGATTATCAAGGGGTGCGAAGTTCAGTTTAAGATCGGTTGGCGTAAGGAATACATAATCTGCAATATCCCCAATTGGGGGTAAATGGTTGACAGGTCAAAGTACAAACATTGAGATATGACAGTATGATGTTCATATAATGGCTAAATTCGGGTGTGAAGTATAATGAGTGGATACGATGATGAGGATGGGTTGATCCTCATTTGGTGAGATTTAACGTTCAGTGAGTTTATGGTTCCAGTTCATATGGTCCAGCGGACAAAGTCTCTTGGTCCCTTTCTCGTAGTCGAAGAATGATGGCACTCCGGCTCATGCCTCCTGGTACTGTCGGTGGCCGGTGACGTGTTCGATGTAGATGTCCCTGGACCATTGGATGGTGTCTGAGACCATGAGGTGCCACATGAGCCGTGCATAGCGTTGACCGATCCCGCAGGTCTGCAGCACATGCTCATTACAGGGGTCCCAGGCGCCCAGGGCTCTGACGATCAGGGCATCCATCTTCACTTCAGAGCCCTTCGCTCTCAGGGGGCGTACTTTTCCAGCTTACAAGTTCGGGTTTCACGAAAGGCCGGGGTTCTATTCTCAAAGGAGACCGTGACAATGACGAGGACGATCTTTTTCTGGGCCTCGTCGGTGATAACGACATCAGGTTGCAGCTGGCTGCCGGTACCGGGGATGGTGCAGTTCACGGAGATCTCTCCCAGGCGTGGTGCGATGGCTTTCACCAGGCAGTTCTGGATGGCATTATGGCACAGCTGCCAGGCTCTGGAGTGGGGTTTGCAGCTGCACAGGACATGGGGCAGGGTGTTGTTGGAGTAGCCGCACTTTCTGCAACACTTTTCTCGGTTCCCAGGGCGGACAGCTTTGTTGAGTGGGACACAGTTGAGCCGGGCACAGTGGATGAACCGCCAGTCGGCAGAATGGGTGAAGGCGCCCCCCAAGTCCCTTCCCCTTCTTGGGTGCTTTCCATTTCCAGCCAACAGCTCTTAAGTTTTGACTGGATTGTGTCTCAGCCAGTTAACTCTCATCCATTTTTAAGTCTGAGGCAAAGGATGGGGGAACAGAACAACTGTGGGAAAAGATATAAAGTAGAGTATTATCTCAGCATACTGGTGATAGGCCAAAACATCTCAATGTCCCTCATTGGCCTTAACTGTGGCAAATGGGATACTGTGGGGAGCTCACTGCAAGGATAAGTAGCTACAACACCACTCCTTGGCATTTCCAGAGCACAGAGTGGAACTACCATGTTGCGTCCGCACTGTAATGCCCACATGTAAATCAATGATTCATAATCAGTTATGTGAAAGGCTGTTGATAGTAGTGTTTAACATGGAACAAAAGAAGAGAGGAACTCACTCATTTTGGTGGCTGTCATCACTTGTCTAGATATGTAGTGTTGTATCATCTTGTGGTGACAGGATGCAGCAAGAGGACGTTAGTGGGAACAAAACTGTATCTGAAACACATTTTTGTTCCAAGTAGATTAATCAAACAAGTGTATATGGATGGAAAATATGGAAAGGCTTTCTGTACCCCTATTTCTAACAATGCCACCACTTAAACTTAAGTAGGATAGAAAATTTGTAATAATGTAAAAATAGACAAAAATTGGAGGGCCAGAGGTTCTTTAGAAATACCCAATTAGATATCCTGCATATAAAAAGATTAAGGCATTTTTAAGAGACAGACTTTGTAATAATATAGTATGTGACATTTACTTCTTTTTTTTTTATACCGGTGTTAATATCCAGAGAGCCTTTTGGACATTACTTGTATACCTAAATTACTATACTCAGCTCTTATATACCAGGATGAGATGTGCCTTAGAAATACTTTATACAGAATTAGAAAAAATATGGATTCCATAATTCTGTCCATCTATATGATTTCATTACCATGGATCTCAGAGTAGTATTTATTATATGGTATCTATGTCTTAAACCAGCTTGACCAGAAGGACACAGAAAATATATGTTGGCCCAGAGTTGTCCTCAGCACTGCCATTTCCAGTCCCTGTTGATATCTGTGGTCTTGTAGAAAATTCTCTGATCTTGATAATATTTTGTCTAGATCTTTCAAGTGGAAATAGAAATAGCAGGTTACTGACAGTAGCACTATCCAGTCCTTCACTGTGCAAAATAAACTGTTTGCTATGTATGTTTGAGTCAATTAAATTTGGTGTTTGAACTTCTCTGTTATCAGTCGATTCAGACAAGAGAGCAGGGACCTTTGGAGGAGTGGGATAAATCTTTAAGAACTTAAGAAACTCTCCTAATGGAGGATGTTTACTCAGATACATCTGAGGGAAGGGAAAAGAATGGAGACCTTTTGAAAGGAGACAGAGGTATTATGAATTCTTTCTATCTAAGGTATGTTTTCAACAAAACCACACGCAGAATTAATTGGAATGAACAAGATTTCTTTGCAATGGGTAAATCTTGCAAATAATAAGGACATTAAACCTGTTAGTAAAAGATAGCTAACTCAGCAATGCATGGTAGTTACTGCCAAGGTCTGAACTAAAGATGAGGGCAGGCTAAAGTCAGAAATTCCCAAACTTTTTTATAATGTGGACCACATGTTAACAAAGAGAAAGTCTTGTGGATACCTCCACTCCCATTCATGGTCAAATAACGCTGTTATTTGCAACTACAGCGTTACAAGGAAAAGGAATATTAAGAAAGTATTGTTGCCCCTTTTTCCAACACTGTTGGTGTAGTCTGACACTAGCAACTCCCCTCTGCTGAGCGCTAGCAGATGTCTGAGGCCTTGCAGGTCAACTTTCCAGTGGAGGAGAAATCAGCGACATAAATTCAGAGTAGAGTCTAAGTGTAACTTTTTTATTTTCACATCAGTCCTGAAACAAAGGTGGCCAAACAGCATGCAGCCAATCCCTTCTTCACAGAATCTCAACCCAACACCACTGTCTGGTTCCTAGAGAGCATTGCTATCTTAAGAATGGACTCTAACCAGTGACCAAGGCAGAAAACAAGCACCCCTGCTGCTTGCCCAGAACCCTCTCCAGCAGCCACTGCTTCCACACAAAACCTGCATAACAAAAACTAACAACACAGCATATCTTCCCAAGACCGAAATTTGCTGACATGAGAAGCAAAACTTGTTACTATGTAAAACAGTGCCCCCTGCTGCAACAGCATTTATGTATTCTTAATTGTCTTTAATGTCAAACAAGTTTAATCACACTGTCTGATTTTGCTTTTAAATTCATCTCCTCCTCTCTTCTGTTCCATTCCTCTCTCTTTTTTGTCTGGACCTCCTCTGCCCCGAACGTGACCTGCCAGCCACCTAGTCCTCTTCTCCCCCTGCCCTGGACTGGCTAGCTGATTCTCTTTTCTTCTGAACACTTCTCTCCTATTCCTCTTGTTACTTTGTTTAAAGTTGCTTATACAGAGCTCCAGTCTCTACCAGCTGTATAAGCAGCTGGAAGCAACAAGAACAGCCAGCACCAGATGCCCAGCTACCAATCATGGTCCACCACTAGTCCACAGACCACACTTTGGGAACCAGAGAGATAAGTCTGAACATGCTAATAAAGATATATTGCCATATGCTGACTTCTTCAAATGACTATAAATCAGGGATCTCTCGATTACACAAAAAGATGCTAGCCATGGAAGGAGACTGACAAAGTATTTGACCATAACAGAGATATCTCTTCCTACAACTTCATGATAACATTTCATTGCACTTTTTGTCTTTCAGTATCACTGTATTTTTATGCTACGGGGACTGTACACACATTGCTTCTTGTCATACATACATAAATTTAGAATGTGGTGTCAGCAGGCATTACTATAATTTTCAAACCAGAAGGAAATCCCTTGGGATTTGTATATATACATTCTGGAAACTTTGTGCATCTGGCCAATGGGACCTTATTCACAGGAACAGCAGTTTGCTTTTTACAGAGGCTTGCTGGTCAGGGAGGAAAAAAATCAGGTTAGAATCTGTCAAACTCAATTTTCTTCTTAGTTTTACTGATTAATTTTATTTTTCAATATGGATTTTCCTCTCATCGTTTACCCACTGGCTGTACAGGCTTGGGAGTATACACATGCACAGTTTCAGCTAATTGTCAAACACATGATTGTTTGATCCTTAAATGGAAACTGAAATTCATGAACAAATGATAAATTAAGCAGAGGTTGCAGCTATTTCTGCTCTTTCACAGAACCCACAACGTTGGCTTTTACATCAAGCTGATAATTTGGTAAATAAAGTCAACAGTAGTTTATTATATTTACTCAGGTTGCCTGAGAAGATTTTCCTGCCTGAAAAAATAACTTTGTTGACATAGCTGTTATTTCTGCTGCTGGGTTGCTTCACTTCCCATACATTAACAGTCACAAGTAATACGCTATAGCAATGAAACTGGGTGAGCTGCCTTCATTGTGCATGTGGACACAGCATTAAATAATGGCCCAGCAACCAGGGATTACATCATGCCCTCCATGTAAAGGAGAATTCTGCTATTTACTTGCATGAAGACAAAAGCTCTGTGAAACAGAACCTTGAAAACAGTTTGTGGGGAATGTAGCTTAAAATGGATGGTATGATTTGGCCCACAATTTTTAGTTTTTACTATTGTATTAAGTATACATTCAAATTGTTAAGTAAAAAGATATAGTCCACACAAATCAGTAACTTCTTTAAATCTTCCACTGAAAAAATAAAAGGTAAAGAACATATCAAACCAAATATACTTCTCTTTCTTATCCTAATAGCACCATAAGCTTTGTCTGTGTATATATCTATCTGCATTGCTAATGTGCCCACTATTGTAGTGCCAAGGTGTTATCTACACAAATAAACACATCCCTACAACCAGTTAGATTGAATTAATACAGTTTTAGAATATAAAAACTTGGGAACAGCAACAAACAAAACTTTTACAGTTCCCAGCAAAGAACAATTGTGAACCCAATGTGGCAGAGGAGAGATTGACATGGAGAAACTCTTTCTATGCCAGTGAAGAAAATATGAAGTAATCAAAGAGAGATATTTCTTTAAATTGTCAGAAATGCTGAAAGACTTTCCATTAAAGAGTGAAGGAGCAGAATTGTTTGTGTATGTTGATTAAAAAGAAAACTTGTGCATAACTCTGTAGGCAAGAAAAGAGTGGTAGAAATAACTAACTGGCTACAGCCTTTAGCAGTCTGCTCCCAGATCAGGAATAATCAGCAATAACAAATAGGGGATAAATCCCAAATGCATTATGAAGCACTATTCCAAGCAGATGCTTAATATAATGTATCTAACTCTGGCAGAGACCTGAGATTTCTATCCAAAATATTTCTGTAGTTCCGAAACTGTGGTCAATGGAGTACTTTCTGGTGATCCACAGAAAGCTGTTTGGACACATAGGCCCAGATCCTCTGAAGTATTTAGGCACCTAACTCCTAATTAAATGAACCTTTGAGGATCTGGGTCATAGTGATGGCTCTCTTCCTTGTTTCTAACTTCTATATCACATTTAAAGAAGCTAAAGTTACATTAAGTACTTTCTTAATATTTCTTTTCCATTAAAGCATTATAGAAGCCACAGGGATGTTATTTGATCGCAAATGGGAGGAGGGGTAGTCCACCCACCCACTCATGAACGTGAGGGGAATTGGTCATGAGATAATTTCTCTATTAAGATGTAGTAGTCTGCACTTTGAAAATGTTTGAGAACCTGTGCTTTATTTGCATCACAAGTGTTGTCAAAGTGTAACAGGGACCAAAGTGCCTCATATATCTCTGTCATATCTCCTTGAAGGGTTATGCATTGTTTCTCCTCATCACTTTTTAATGGAAAATCTTTTATCATTTCTGGAAATTTGACAAAATACTTGTCTCACACTTTGGGACATTGGAGTAGAAAGTGTCTCTCCATCTCAATCTCTTCTGTCACATTGGTTGCACATTGGTTACTCTCTGAGTTTGCACTGTACCCTGTGTCTCTCAATTTCTAACATTAGTTTATAGTCACCCACTTTGTATTTGAAGAGAGACTGCTAGCGTGATGGTTCTGTATGGAGATCTGTAGCCATCTGTCTTTTTATTTTTGATTTGTTCTTCCCAGAGATTAGCATATTTGGTTTTTTTTAAGTTTTTGAGCTAATTATTTTACCATCACTCAATTTCAAGTGGGATTGTCCGTTGATCTGGAAGGATAGTGTGTTAAGGCCTGGGAATGCTATAGTTGAGTGGATTATTGTGAAGGGGTAGTCTGCCCTTAAAGGCAGTAGGGCCTAGTGGTTAACCCACCGTGACACTTGGTATGGCCTTTTAAGGATTTGAAATGTCCAATAGAAACATATGAAGACCAAAAGGGGGATAGACATAGAGAGGAAGAGGTCGTAGGAAGGAGCAGTGGTTAGAAGAAATACAGGGTATAACTATGGGAAGAGGAGCAGCATAAAGGCTGCCTCCTGCCTCAGAATAGGGTAGGAC